GCTTCACTTATTACTAACCAGACTGACTTTATTTCTGTCAGACTTCTACAGAAGATTTTATTGAGAATTAACAGAGGTTTACTCTGTGTTTCATTTGAAGTCACCATACCATCAGAATCTCTGAAGGAGAAAATCGTAATTGGTTACCATTATAGAGATCAGTGTAGAGATCAGAGATCAGTCTTTAGTTGGGCTCTTGAGCTTTACATTAACTTTAGGATTTGTTCGGCTGTTGTATCTGAGTTAAAACAGTCAGATGAACAAAGAAAAACACATACAAACTAATAGTTTTGGTTATATTGTGACAATCGTCATTTGCATTTATTATTTGTGATTTATTTTGTTGGTTACAGCATAACTGAGATTCTGCATAAATATCCAGAATTTATAATGTAAAGGATTTCTTAAAAGTTGTAAAAAAAAAAATCTTTAGTAAAGGCACGCACAGACCTCAAAATTCAGTCAATGCTTCTCAACAACGGTGACGAGCAGAATATTCAATTAGGAAAAGTAATTTACATAGACAATTCAGATCATAATTTATTCATACCGCAATGCATGATGGGAGCCATTAATGAGTTGTGATTGGTGGGAACAAGGATTATGTGGTCACCACGGTTGAGATTCACAGGCTGATTATTGATGTCTGTGTTTCTAAATAAATGCATTTGAAAGTGATTTGATCAGAATAATTTATATTAAATATTTTGGAATATCAGAAAAATATTGATAATCATATGCTTTATAACCACTAAAATGTTGCTATCAAGTTAAACCAAATTATATGAAAAGTTTCGTTTTACAGATCACAGCATGATTATGCCAAAACAACCTACACTGTCATATCACAGTTGTCTTTGTTCATTTGACTGTTCTAAATTAATAACAGCAGTCAAACAAAGTTTAAAGTGAAAGTGTCAAGAGCCCAACTAAAGCAAACACTGATCTCCATAACGGTGGCTTACAATTTGTGATTTTCTCCTTCAGTGATTCTGCTTGTGTTCATCAGGTGTCTTCAATAATGCTCAATCATCACTAAATTAATCACTTAATTATCTCATTAACTTTAACACTCTTGAGGGTTAATTTAACACTCATTTCGTCCATTTGAAAGCAGGTGAAGGTGATTTACTACTAATCAAGGAACCGGCTTCACTGATTAGACGCGCATAACAATATTGTGCTATACATCGCCCAGCCCTAATCACAGGTTTTTTCTTTTTTTTTTTAATAATTTGTCAAAATAATTATTATATTCAAACACCACAGTGAATCAGGCTTTTTCATGATGATTATAAAACCATCACCGGGTAATCTTCATCACCTGATTCCGTTGAACTTTTGTTACTGTAAATGTGTTTGACAAACACACTGTCACAGCAGACAGAAGAGATCAGATATATTATAAGAGTAAAGAGCCTGGCTAATGGAAACACTAATCACTGTTATGGTGACTTCAGTAAACCTCTGTTAATTCTCAATAAAATCTTCTGTAGAAGTCTAACAGAAATAAAGTCAGTCTGGTTAGTAATAAGTGAAGCTGGTAATGCTGTTTGTGGAGTTGTTTAATCCTCCTCTGCGGAGATCTTCAGATTTAATGTCTTCTCTTCAGGTGATTTCATCTGTGTCGTCTCTTTTTCTATTCTCTTCAGAAGAGTAAAGTCCAGGTTCAGAAAGTAAAAGTCCGCCTCAGTATTTTGTTCCAATCACCTGGATTTGCTTATTAGCAGTTTTTCAGTCAGGAGACAGAAATCAGCCCTAATCAACCGTCAATCCGTTCATGGCTGAAAGTAAGACATGGCAGAATTTCTACTTTCTACTTCTAGTTTATACAACACTGCTAGATACTTACTGAGGAGAAGTTTTAACCTCCACTGAAGAAAGACCAAATGGGGGAGGGGATGTCACTGAGAACATCAGTTGATTTCTTAAAGGGGCGTTTACCCAATAATGACAGGGTGGACAGCAATTTCAGGGACACATGCAAAATGCTTAATATTATTATGAAAATAAAATATAAATAATCAAAATTACTTGTTTTATTAAATAATTTGCTGAGGACAATAAGAAAGTTCAAAAAGTATTTTAATTTTATGTCATTTAACCACTTTTTACAATCAATGAAGTAAGCTGAGTAGCGTGTGGGACATACCAAAATCACATAGGCCCTACATGCAATCAAAGAAAATGGTATAAAATCAGAAAAGCACATTTCAAGAAACTTATCATTGTACTTGTATGTGTGTAAGTGTTGGGCCATTTATAATAAAACCTCAGAATTTCATTATTTTGCATTATGTTCATGATGACTGAGCAATTCTGATGAGGACACCAAAGGCACTTTATAGTGATATTGACCCTAGCAGTATAAACTAAATATATTACTTTCATATTTTAATTTGAATTACTGAAATACATGAATTTTTGCATGATATACAAATTTTTCGAGTTTCAACTGTATAATTCTAGCCTCCGTTGAGGACCATTTGGAGGTTTTTGTCACCACCGTCAGACTGTACGTCACCACCGTCAGACAGAAAACCTGACGGTGGTGACGTCTGACGGTGGTGACAAAAACCTATTCTTTCACATGATATGCATGAGTTGTTCACATTAGCCATCTTGTTTTCCCTCTGTTGCTAGCTACTTCAGGCCTCCTCTTAAAAAGTATACACTTATGTCATAATCTAATCTAATATTTTTTATACAAAAGAGACGGTGTTGACATGTTATGGTTGTGACATTAGCAGTGTCCAAAAATATGAACAAGTTGAAGAGAAAATAGCAAACTTACGGGAGCTTGAGTGATCTTGATGCATGCAGTAGAGCTGAAGATTTGAAAATGGGGTCCTCAGGAATGTAGTTAACCTTGTAGTTACCTGATTTTATTGCTTTTTGTAAATATCTGACGGTGGTGACGAATATGTGGGACACATTTTGAGGAACCACAAAATAATAGTAAATATTGTTCAAAACTCACTGTTTGTAGTTTTTAATACATATTGCAATGTACTCCTTCATGTTGTAAATATATTATTCAATTATTATTTTCAGTTTTTTTAATCAAGTTGAAATGATTATCTCCTATCCGAGGACAACTGATTTTGTAGGCAATGGGCCAGTATTTAATCATTAAATTATTAAAAAATAAAAATAAACCTATAAAATGACCTTACATATGTGCAAAGGACCCCCAGATTATAACCCTGATTATTTGTCTGCATGAAAATGTTATTAATTTCCAACAGAATTAGCACTTTTTTTAGTGGGACATGTTTTTGCCAAAGTTTCAAGAATCAGTGATATATATATATATTTGTTTGTGTGTTCTTTAGAATATAAATGTGTTAAAGAAACTACAAGATGCATTATCTCCTATACAAATGGGTCAGTGGGACGTGTGCAGAAGGACAGAATGTTCTGTTTTTCTCAAAAATAGATAAGCTTGCTTGCAGTTGTTTTTGAAATGACATATCTATTTAAAAACACATAAGAAGTGTTAGAATACGTGTGGGTATACATAGATGAGAAGTGTTATGCCGAGTTCAGACTGCATGATTTTAGCCACGATTTTGGCTCGCCGACAGGTTTTGAGAAATCGCCAACAAATGCCCGAAATCACAGGCAAATCGGCGCTCGTTCACGCGAGTGACAATCACGCAGTGTGAATGAGCAAAGACGCGAACGGAGAGAATCACCGACGCCCGTGAGATATTTGGCATGCTAAATATCTGGACCTGTCGGCGATTCAAAATCCTGCTGTGTGAAAAGTGTTTTGACTGAAAACTACATCGGCGATCACCGGCAGCCAGTGAGAGAGCAAGTTACAGAGCAGCGGGGAGTTCGGGGAGGAGTTATAGATCACATATCAACATGATATGGCATTGTTTCAACAAAAAAAGCTTCTTCTCGGTCTATTTGGACACAATAAATGGAAGAAAAATTAGTAGAAATTTGGCAGGAGCACTCGTGTCTGTTTCACCAGCTGTACCACAACCGGGTCGAAAAAAAAAGTCTCACGTGAGAATTCCGGTCTTGCACGTGTGGTGTCGCGCGTTGTTTCCTTTTCACATCTAACACGTGTTTGTTGTGAAATGTAGTTTGCGTGCAGCGTGCTAGACAGAGTCTGTCGGCGATTTTTCTAAAGTCATGCAGTGTGAAACCTTCTGTCGCCGATCCATCATCCAGTGTGAACACAGCAGTGACTGAATGCTGGCCAAGATAGTCATGCAGTGTGAAAAGAGCAGCGACCCGACTACTTTGAAAATCGTGCAGTCTGAAAGAGCCATTAGAATATGGGGAACTGAGAACTGTGTTCGTGCAAGGGGGTTTGGATCTTTTACGAAGATAAGAAGAGGAGGGGTACTTTTTGGAGGATGTTCTTTTGTATATGAAAAAAGGGGAAAAAAAATTCTTCCTAATTATAAATGTATTTTCAAGTGTCAAGTCGTTCTGATATTTGATGTGAGCAGTTTCATGTCTTTCTCTCGATAGTTCCTAAACTGCCTGAAGTCAACATAAAGTTAACAATTCAGACCTGCTTTCACTCCCCATTTGAATGACTTCGTCCTTTTTAAACACTTTTCATGACCATGTTATGTTGTAATATCAATAGTAATTTATGGTACGACAAAATAATAATTTACATTGTACGTAATTTAACTAGCAGCACTATGCCTGTAAAGTCAAGTTTATCCACAAAGGTAGAGCAGAATTCTCATGCACATTATTATGAAGGCCTCAGGTCCTCAATGAAACCCTCATGATAACACCAAACTAATGCTGAGTGTTTCTGCATGATTTATGACCATCCTAACTATAACACACAAGCTGAGGAACCATTTTGGTCTATTTTTATTTTCTCTCCAAAAACAAAGCAGAACGAAAAACACTGTAGTATATGCTTCTGATCTTCACACAATCACTTCCACAGTTATGACATTAGATGACTGAACATGTGCAGGCTGTGATGTTTCTATCAAAGTAATGAATGTGATTACCTGAACTCTGAAGTGGTTGGTGTGTGTTTATCTCTGTCCTGAAGTCATGATCTCTCACACTCTCATAGATTTCCACTGTCATCTCCACTCTCTCTGTCTGCATTCCCTCTGACTCGATCCCGATCACATCGTTATATATGCTATCTGACATTTCTTCTTTAACATTAAATGATTTTGTTCCTTGTTCTTCTGCGATGTAATCAGCACTCGTCTTCTTTTAAAAGCTAGTGGCAAACTTGTGGTCAATGAGTGAAAACAAACAGACCCTTAAAGTTGACATGAAACAGAAGTTGTGATGTCATTTGAGTGACAGGTTGTGGAAGAGATGTCATTGCAAGAAGCAGGGGGAGTTATTTTTCACATGAATTTTAAATGTGATGTGCATTGATAAATCATGTATAAATACTGCAATATTCCATAGAAAATAAGAATTGTCTATTTTGATTTCATAGTGACTCAGATGGTGCAAGTATATAGCCTGGTTCAACCAGACTCTAGTACATTTCATTTTTACATAGAGTCTGGAACTGCACCATTGAGAAACGTTTCCTTCCTTGTAGGCGGGTTCACTATTAAAGTTCAAATCTATTGGATCTGCCCAAAGTCACTCACGATCTGCCATAGCCAATCGCTAACGTGTGGTCGTGAGTGACGTATGTCACGCGCCGAAATGACTGGAAACAACAAGTCTGAATGATCAGATGATTATGTTTACAATAGGATTTCAGTCAACGAGAGCTGCAGGTTTTGTTAATCTAGGAACAATTATTAATTCGAAATGTATATTTGACACGAAGGACAGTGATATATTCATTCAACGGTGGAAGCTGTGTCTAATCATTACAAATACACCGCTGCGGTCGTTTCTGATCTGCCGCAAATGCTGTAGCAGCTACAGTGAATGATCAGTCTGTCTCTATCTGCAGATGTGTAATAAACAACAATTTTTCATATTACGTCTTATTGTTTCTTAATTACCTTAATTATGGTCTTCAAAGTATGTGTTTGTACATTTTTATGTGGCAATTAGTTTTTTTTATTAAAACAAATCAACCATTGCCATCTAAAGCTGAAAATCAAATATCTTCAAAGTATGGGTTTTCACATTTTTATTTATGACAATTATTTTTTTTTAAATCACAACCAATTTGTATGATTTACAACATGTAAAACTGACACACCAACCTCCTGCACGAGTGCACAAAGGGGCTCAAAATGTTCTACTCATCACAAGAATCATTAAATTTACAGTTGGGAATATGAGCGACTGACATGACTCCTGAGCGGATCTTCAACAATAGTTTAGCTGTCATGATAGAATCAAGGAAGCAATTGCAGTTAAACTCTTTTAATTATAAGCTTGACGAACACACAGAGACAGTCCATAAACAGGCAGAGATAGTGACGCAGGGGATCCGATGGTCCGGTGCAGAGTGCTGTGGTGAAGGTGGTGGTGAATCCAACGATGAACAAATCCAAATGACAGAGAACAAGGGCCAGAGCTGAACACGAATGAGCGAGACAGGAGACAACACACCGGGAACCACAAACAACGATCTGACAAAGGAGATGAGAAGTTGATGAGACTATATACACAAGAAGATTAACTGCAGCTGGTGGTGATGATTGCTGATGAGCGCTGATAGAGCGGCACGCCCCCCCATCAGCGCACACACACACAACAATAACAGAACCACGAGACGAGAAGTAGACATAGGATTTACCAACCGTGACAGTACCCCCTTCCCTAGGAACGCCTCCTGGCGTTCCCAGACTCCCTTACCTGCCGATTGTAATCATCGATAAGGGAGTGATCCAGGATGTCTCTGGCCGGTACCCAACTTCTCTCCTCCGGACCGTAACCTTCCCAGTCCACCAGGTACTGGAATCCGCGCCCCCTCCGTCTCGAGTCCAGCACACGATTGACCGAATAAGAGGGTTCCCCATCTACGAGACGCGGCGGGGGGGGAACCGGGACTGGCGGATTAATGCGAGCATAAAAGACAGGTTTGACTTTGGAAACGTGAAAAACGGGATGAATCCTCCTGTACACTGGAGGAAGATTCAGACGGACTGTCACCGGACTAATGATTTTGGTGACAGCAAACGGGCCAATGAATTTGGGTGCAAGTTTATTCGAAATGGAACGGAGTGGAATGTCCTTAGTTGAAAGCCACACTTTAGAACCGACGACGTATACGGGAGGTCTCCGCCGGTGGCGATCGGCTTTGACCCTGGTGCGCGCCCCCACTTGGAGTAGAGTCTCACGGGCTCTAGTCCAAGTGCGGCGACACCGCTGGACGAAGGCGTGGGCGGAGGGGACCGCGACTTCGGATTCCAGACTAGGAAAGATAGGTGGCTGGTAACCTACACTACACTTAAATGGTGATAGGCCCGTGGATGACACTGGCAACGTGTTGTGGGCGTACTCCACCATAGACAACTGCTGGCTCCAGGAAGAGGGATTCTTGGACACTAAACATCGCAACGTTCTCTCCAAATCCTGGTTGGCTCGTTCAGTTTGACCATTGCTCTGGGGATGGAACCCAGATGAGAGACTGACAGTCGCCCCCAGCAGTCTACAAAACTCTCGCCAAAATTTGGACACAAATTGGGGTCCTCTGTCAGAGACCACGTCTGTCGGGAGGCCATGAAGCCGAAAGACGTGGTCAATGACACTCACCGCTGTTTCCTTGGCTGAAGGTAATTTGGGCAAGGGAATAAAATGGGCCGCCTTCGAGAATCGGTCCACCACGGTCAAAACTACCGTGTGACCCTGGGAGGGTGGGAGGGCGGTGATAAAATCTAGCGCGATGTGGGACCAGGGTCTCGAAGGCACCGGCAGCGGTTGAAGCAACCCATCAGGGGGTCGATTGGAAGTCTTGCCTGTGGCACAAACTGAACAAGCCAATACAAAATTTCGAACGTCACGAGACATGAGAGGCCACCAGAATCGTTGCTTAACCAAAAACATGGTACGACTGACTCCTGGATGACAAGCCACATTGGAACAATGACCCCACTGGATGACGCTGGACCGTAAACTCTCCGGCACGAACAAACGGTTCGATGGGCAACGAGTCGGAGGCGTTACCCCTTCTAAGGCCTTCTTGACCTTCGATTCGACCTCCCATGTGAGTGTAGAGATGAATAGATTCTCTGGTAAAATGCACTCGGGAGTAGACGGGCGATCGGAACGGTCAAAAATGCGCGATAAAGAATCGGGTTTGATGTTTTTGGAACCCGGGCGGTACGAGAGTGTAAAGTCAAAACGTCCGAAAAAAAGAGCCCACCGAGCCTGCCTTGAATTGAGTCTTTTAGCAGTGCGAATGTATTCCAGATTCTTGTGGTCGGTCCAGACGATAAAAGGTACCCCCGACCCTTCTAACCAGTGACGCCACTCTTCCAACGCTAACTTGACCGCCAACAATTCTCTGTTGCCAATGTCATAATTACTTTCAGCGGGGGATAAACGGTGCGAAAAAAACGCGCAAGGATGCATCTTCTCGTCTGAAGGAGAGCGCTGAGATAACACCGCACCTACCCCCACCTCCGACGCGTCGACCTCCACCACGAACTGACGTGATGGATCAGGGGTTATCAGGATGGGGGCCGAAACAAAGCGCCCCTTTAGTTTGGCAAACGCAGCTTCCGCTGCGTCTGACCACCTGAACGTCGTTCTGGGGGAGGTCAAGGCAGTCAGAGGCGCGGCTAGGCGGCTGAAGTTGCGAATAAAACGCCGGTAAAAATTGGCGAACCCCAGAAACCTCAGTAGGGCCTTACGGGAATCTGGACTTGGCCAATCTACCACAGCCTTAACCTTGTCGGGATCCATGCGCACTCCGTCAACCGAGATGATGTGACCTAGAAAGGGAACAGACTGTGCATGAAAAACGCATTTCTCCGCCTTGACAAAAAGCCCATTCTCTAACAACCTCTGAAGCACTTGTCGAACGTGTTGCACATGTTCCTGGAGAGACGAAGAAAAAATCAATATGTCATCCAGGTAGACATAAATGAATTGGTCGACCATGTCTCGCAACACGTCATTGACAAGTGCCTGGAAGACCGCTGGGCTATTGGACAAGCCGAAAGGCATGACCAAATATTCAAAGTGCCCCCTAGGGGTGTTAAATGCAGTCTTCCATTCATCCCCCTCCCTGATGCGGACCAAATGATAAGCATTCCTTAAATCCAGTTTTGTGAAAATGGATGCTCCTTGCAACCTCTCGAAAGCTGAAGACATCAACGGCAAAGGATAAGTATTCTTCACCGTGATGTTGTTCAGCCCCCGGTAATCAATACAAGGTCGCAACGATCCATCCTTCTTCCCCACAAAAAAGAACCCCGCCCCCGCTGGAGATGAGGAAGGGCGGATGAATCCCGTTGCTAGAGAATCAGAAATATATTTCTCCATGACCTCTCTCTCAGGGACTGAGAGTGAATATAATTTGCCCTTAGGCGGAGACGTACCTGGCAATAAGTCTATAGCACAGTCATAGGGACGATGCGGAGGAAGAGAATCAGCCCGAGACTTACTGAACACTTCCTTCAGCTCCCGATACTCCGTGGGCACGTTTGATAAATCCACTGTTTCCTCCTGTAACACACGAGAAGAGACAGACGGACAGGCAGACACAAGACAAGACTTATGACAAAAACTGCTCCATGATGCTACTGATTTGAATTGCCAGTCTATTTTGGGGTTGTGACGGGTGAGCCATGGGTGACCAAGAACGATAGGGCTAATGGAGTGTCCAGAATGTAAAAGGAAATAGTCTCTGAGTGATTGCCTGACGTGATGAGGGTGATGTCTTCGGTGATCCATGAGATAGTGGGGAGTCTTTGGCCGTTGAGAGCGTGTACATGAATCTGGTGTGCGAGGGGTTTGAGGGGAATATGAAGTTTCTTAGCAAATGAATGGTCCATGAAATTACCTTCCGCCCCAGAGTCCAGTAGTGCTCGACAATCGTGGAGGTGAGTTGACCATCGGAGCCTTACCGGGAGGAAGGTAGATGTCGATGAGGTCTTCTCGGCAGAGATCCCACCCGACAGTAGCCTCATTCTTACTGTCGGGCTGGACCTTTTAACGGACAATGAAACGCCAAATGTCCCGCTCCCCCACAGTACAGACAAAGGCCCAGGGATCTCCGCCTCTCCTTCTCCTCCCGGGAAAGCCGGGCTCGACCCACCTGCATGGGCTCGTGATCGTAGGTAGGGCTGACCGCTCCCTCGCCTCCTGAACGCTGCCCCTCGATGCCTCCAGAGAAACGATCGTG